TATACTGGCTCTAGTTTCTGGACGGACACGACGAATTCTCAGATATATATTTAATTGACTGGGGCATATTGATCATGACGAGTCCAGTGATATCCGCCGTTCTTGGTATAATCCGGAAACCAAATATTTGTATTAAATATTCATAATATGTATTTATGTATATAATGTACTTAGTGTTCACGGACTGGCATAGTGGTCAACAACAGTTGATGGACAACGCTGACCAATCATATGATATTTTATTTAATAAAGACTACTGATATACAGCCTTGGTTTCATGAACTACTTGAAGGTAGCATATCTCCTTATGTCATCACGTCATAGTTAGGTAGCATACAACCTTACGTCTCCATCCAAGTCACAGTGAGGTAACAGTACAAAATTAAGTCTCAAAATCATAGTTTGGTAACATACAACATTTAGCCTCCAAACCACTGCAACGTAGGCTACAACCTTAAGTCTTTATGTCACAGCAAGGCAGCATACAATCGCAAGTCTTTATGTCACAGTAAGGCAGCATACAATCTTAAGTCTTAGGGTCACAGTAAGGCAGCATACAATCTTAAGTCTTAGGGTCACAGTAAGGCAGCATACAATCTTAAGTCTTCATGTCACAGCAAGGCAGCATACAATCTTAAGTCTTCATGTCACAGTAAGGCAGCATACAATCTTAAGTCTTTATGTTACAGTAAGGCAGCATACAATCTTAAGCCTTAAGGTTACAGTTAGGTATCATTCAACCCTAAGTCTCCAAATCACGGTAAGGTACATTTAAGCATACACTCTTATGTCTCCAAGTCAAAGTAAAATAACATACAACATTAAGTCTCCAAGTCAAAGTAAGTATAATACCTCCTTAAGTCATCGAATACTATTACTTAGCAATAACAGCAGGACAGAGTTTTAAAAATGTAAAACAATTTACAAATGTTTTTCAGTCAGATAGATTTTAGTACATAAACAACATGTCATATACTTTTAAGTTCGCTTGTTTTGACGTTAAAACGCCATCACAAACATTCATATTACGTAATAATGCCTGCCCATTTCTTATATTGATTCTACCAAAAGCATGTACACTTGTCTCAATGCGAAATTTTCTTCTGCAGAAAAATACCACGAGTAAATCATCATATATCTTCCTTGTGTGAAGCAACATGCAACAGATTTTCTTTTTAGAAGCAGATGAGCGAGTGTGGTCGATTTTAATTAAGGTGGTGAAAAGGAGATGCCTTCTCTATAAGATGGACGCGCGCGCCCTAGATAATTTGAAAAGACTTCGGAATTTTTACTCATTTAATGATAAGAGGAAGACACGTTTGGATGATGTTATTTATAAACCATCCTGTTAGGACAGGATATCTGTCACATGATTTATCTCAGTTTTAAATAAATTCTCGTATTTCACCAAGTAACTACGTCTGGTTTAACACGTTTCGGAAAAATCACACAGTGAAGGGGTTTGTAAAATAATGAAGAAGAAAAAACATTAGTTCAGTGGGTGACTGTTGATGTGAAGTAACACGTACATGTACCCCCTTCAAAATTTTTTTATTGTGCCTACAATCTCTGACAATGTTGTCTTTTGTTTTCCTTTATTAAATGGGGGTAGGGGCATCGTATTCTACTGGAATTTAATATTGTACCAAACACAGAGTAAAACTGGTGTCTGTATCTGTAAAACCAAACAACTTCGACTTGATTTTTAACGACAGGAAAATCTGCGGGAACATCAAATCTGAAACTGTATACTACAGAGATACATCCTACATTACACAGATACATCCTACATTACACAGATACATCCTACATTACACAGATACATCCTACATTACACTGATACATCCTACATTACACTGATACATCCTACATTACACTGATACATCCTACATTACAGATACATCCTACATTACACTGATACATCCTACATTACACAGATACATTCTACATTACACCGATACATCCTACATTACACTGATACATCCTACATTACACAGATACATCCTACATTACACTGATACATCCTACATTACACTGATACATCCTACATTACACTGATACATCCTACATTACACTGATACATCCTACATTACACTGATACATCCTACATTACACAGATACATCCTACATTACAGATACATCTTACATTACACTGATACATCCTACATTACACAGATACATCCCACATTACACAGATACATCCTACATTACACTGATACATCCTACATTACACAGATACATCCTACATTACACTGATACATCCTACATTACACTGATACATCCTACATTACACAGATACATCCTACATTACACTGATACATCCTACATTACACTGATACATCCTACATTACACATATACATCCTACATTACACAGATACATCCTACATTACACTGATACATCCTACATTACACAGATACATCCTACATTACACAGATACATCCTACATTACACTGATACATCCCACATTACACAGTTACATCCTACATTACACAGATACATCCTACATTACACTGATACATCCTACATTACACAGATACATCCTACATTACACAGATACATCCTACATTACACTGATACATCCCACATTACACAGTTACATCCCACATTACACAGTTACATCCTACATTACACAGATACATCCTACATTACACAGATACATCCCACATTACACAGTTACATCCCACATTACACAGTTACATCCTACATTACACAGATACATCCTACATTACACTGATACATCCTACATTGCACAGATACATCCTCAATACACAGATACATCCTAAATTACACTGATACATCCTACATTACACAGTCACATCCTACATTACACTGATACATCCTACATTACACAGATACATCCCACATTACACAGATATATCCTACATTACACCGATACATCCTACATTACAGATACATTTTACATTACACAAATACATCCTACATTACACTGATACATCCTACATTACACAGATACATCCTACATTACACTGACACATCATACATTACACTGATACATTCTACATTACACTAATACATCCTACATTACACAGATACATCCTACATTACACAGATACATCCCACATTACACCGATACATTCCACAGATACATCCCACATTACACAGATACATCCTACATTACAACAATACATCCTACATTACACAGATACTTCAAACGTTACACAAATACATTTTACATTACACATATACATCATACATTACACAGATACATCATACATTACAACAATACATCCTACATTACACTGATACATCCTACATTACACAGATACATCCCACATTATACAAATACATCCTACATTACACCGATACATCCTACATTACAGATACATCTTACATTACACAAATACATCCTACATTACACTGATACATCCTACATTACACAGATACATCCTACATTACACTGACACATCATACATTACACTGATACATTCTACATTACACTAATACATCCTACATTACACAGATACATCCTACATTACACAGATACATCCCACATTACACCGATACATTCCACAGATACATCCCACATTACACAGATACATCCTACATTACAAAAATACATCCTACATTACACAGATACTTCAAACATTACACAGATACATTTTACATTACACAGATACATCCTACATTACACAGATACATCATACATTACAACAATACATCCTACATTACACAGATACATCAAACATTACACAGATACACTCTACATTACACAGATATATCCTACATTTCACTGTACTCTACACCGATACACTGTACTCTACACTGATACACTGTACTCTACACTGATACACTATACTTTACACTGATAAACTGTACTCTACACCGATACACTGTACTTTACACCGATACACTGTACTCTACACTGATACAGTCTAAATTACACTGATGCATCCTACATTACACCGATACACTGTACTCTACACTGATACACTATACTTTACACTGATACACTATACTTTACACCGATACACTGTACTTTACACCGATACACTGTACTCTACACTGATACACTATACTTTACACTGATACACTGTACTTTACACCGATACACTGTACTCTACACCGATACACTGAACTTTACACCGATACACTGTACTCTACACCGATACACTATACTTTACACCGATACACTGTATTGTACACCGATACACTGTACTTTACACCGATACACTATACTTTACACCGATACACTGTACTTTACACCGATACACTATACTTTACACCGATACACTGTACTTTACACCGATACACTGTACTCTACACCGATACACTGAACTTTACACCGATACACTGTACTCACACCGATACACTATACTTTACACCGATACAGTCTAAATTACACTGATACACTGTACTTTACACCGATACACTGTACTTTACACCGATACACTGTACTCTACTCTGATACACTACACTTTACACCGATACACTATACTTTACACCGATACACTGTACTTTACACCGATACACTATACACCGATACACTGTACTATACACCGATACAGTCTACATTACAACAGTAACGTATTTTGTATGTAATTGAAATTGCTTCCTAACGTATTGAAGTATCGCTTTATTCAACATAAGCGGATTAGCTTTTCAACCATCAAGTGGTTGTACTTAACGGCTTAGACGCTAAGTTTCTTTATTCTTTACACAAGTGACACAGAAACAGGTTAGAAAAGAAATAAAGTGCAGAGATATTAAGGTGATTTTATGTCACTGCTAAGTGCAATATGGAAAATAACAGTCTCTGAATATAACTACCCACATTCTATTTTATCTCTGCAATTTCCGACACCAATGGAACTTAAACTGTAAATATTGATTGTGAGAACTAAAAATATTCTTCTTCTCAACTTTCCCCTCAAAATGAAAAGTCTAACTATTCATGCAAATCTTGCTTGACATACTGACAAACACTTTTACCGCGAAACATTCTACACCAAAGACACATTTTAATTCTCGTGTACTTACCTATACTTGACTTTGGTGTAGTAAATAACACCGTTCCAGCTTTACCCCCAGGCCGGAAGGTCACCGTGTCAGCTGTCCCCCGGGCCGGACTCCCCGACACATGGAAATGGTGACATGACGGTTTAGAACGTCTGTCGGAATCCGGTTTGGATCAATGATATGACGTTCTCGTTGAGATTTGGGGTAGCACTGAAATATCACAAACGTTAATCCCCGGGGCTCGGGCGCCGACTTTCACGACTGCTGAACACGCACAGTTCTTTTTACAGATATTAATTAAGCACATGTATCGACACGTGCGGTTATTGATACTCAAATGATACGTAATTATACGATCAAATCACAATTTCTTGCACCAGATTAAATATCGCTGCAGACTTCGTTTATGATTACTTAAAATAGTCAGTTTGCTGACTTCTTCTCTGTCGCACACATGCACACACACACACACTGAAAGTCGATGCTCCAGACGGCAGTGTCGCGCGCTATATTAAAATGAAGGAATACACTGATCCGTCAGCTCCGTGCTGTGTCGTGGTAATCTACAATATACTGTCCATTACCTTTATACATACACATGTATGCGGGTGATCGATTTCCTGACCCAGGTGGCTATTGCGCCAGCGCCATCGTAGATCATCCCCCAAATGATGAGATAAGCCGCAACTTTAATCTCATTTCGACATCAGAACACAGGGAATACGGACACTTAAGCGCTAGAAATGGAAGTACGACAAACAAGGATTTTAATATCTGTTAATAATAGCCATCTTTTTAGATACGCGGAACTAACTAGATCAATCAATGTATTTTGGTTTGAAACTTATAGTTACAGATTTATGGATTTTGATGGTAGCTTTGTTAAAAAAATTAACTAAGTATACTGTAAGGTTTAATATTATAGCCTGTGAACGTTTTATTTTGTGGAGAAGACTGAAATTATCATAATAATCGAAACATCTCTAACACGTTTCCAAATTGCCAATAGTCACTTTATCATAGGTTTCGTGTTTTTTGGTTTGTCTCTTTTGCACAGGATTATCTTTCTATGCTTTGGTGGGTTTTTTGACATTTTATGTACATATACCAAAACTCATTTGCCTTCAAAGATCTGTCATTTCATTCAACTTATAGTTTTATAATACATTCATAATTTGCACGGGTGCCAAATCAAGCCATTTTAATCAAGTTGGGGTTTTCGATGAAACATCATATGATTATGCTTAAAACTCTCCAAGACATATAGTAGAAACATCCATATCATCTCTGAGTATTGTAGATTTTCACATCTATCAACACTATAGTTTTGTTTTATTATTATATAGCAGGCAGGTTTATAAGTCAGCTGTGCATCCATTATTCCATCAATCACCTCTATTCAACTTGACAGTAATGACAGTTATTTACATCAATATCTGAAGTCAAGCTTCATGTTTACCAGTTATTTACATCATAAGTCAGCTGTCATCTTTACCAGTTATTTACATCTAGTTAAGTCGAGCTGTCATCTTTACCAGTTATTTACATCAATCACTCTTGAGTCGAGCTGTCATCTTTACCAGTTATTTACATCACTCACTTTGAAGTCAAGTTGTCATCTTTACCAGTTATTTACATCTATCAATATGAAGGCGAGCTGTCATCTTTACCAGTTATTTACATCATCACTCTGAAGTCGAGCTGTCATCTTTACCAGTGCTGTCATCTTTACCAGTTATTTACATCAATAGTTCTGAAGTCGAGTTGTCATCTTTATCAGTTATCTACATCAATAGTTCTGAAGTCGAGCTGTCATCTTTACCAGTTATTTACATCAATCACTCTGAAGTCGAGCTGTCATCTTTACCAGTTATTTACATCTATAGTTCTGAAGTCAAGCTGTCATCCTTCCCAGTTATTTACATCAATCACTCTGAAGTCGAGCTGTCATCTTTACCAGTTATTTACATCTATCATGCTGTCATCTTTACCAGTTATGATCAGTCGAGCTGTCATCTTTTCCAGTTATTTACATCAATAGTTCTGAAGTCGAGCTGTCATCTTTATCAGTTATCTACATCAATAGTTCTGAAGTCGAGCTGTCATCTTTACCAGTTATTTACATCTATCACTCTGAAGTCGAGCTGTCATCTTTACCAGTTATTTACATCTATCATTCTGAAGTCGAGCTGTCATCTTTACCAGTTATTTACATCTATCACTCTGAAGTCGAGCTGTCATCTTTACCAGTTATTTACATCAATAGTTCTGAAGTCGAGCTGTCATCTTTACCAGTTATTTACATTTATCATTCTGAAGTCGAGCTGCCATCTTTACCAGTTATTTACATTTATCATTCTGAAGTCGAGCTGTCATTTTTACCAGTTATTTACATCTATCACTCTGAAGTCGAGCTGTCATCTTTACTAGTTATTTACATCTATCTTTACCATCACTTCTGAAGTCGAGCTGTCATCTTTACCAGTTATTTACATCTATAGTTCTGAAGTCGAGCTGTCATCTTTACCAGTTATTTACATCTATCAGACTGAAGTCGAGCTGTCATCTTTACCAGTTATTTACATATATCACTCTGAAGTGGAGCTGTCATCTTTACCAGTTATTTACATATATCACTCTGAAGTTGAGCTGTCATCTTTACCAGTTATTTACATCTATCACTCTGAAGTCGAGCTGTCATCTTTACCAGTTATTTACATCAATAGTTCTGAAGTCGAGCTGTCATCTTTACCAGTTATTTACATCAATCACTCTGAAGTCGAGCTGTCATCTTTACCAGTTATTTACATCAATAGTTCTGAAGTCGAGCTGTCATCTTTACCAGTTATTTACATCAATAGTTCTGAAGTCGAGCTGTCATCTTTACCAGTTATTTACATCTATCACTCTGAAGTCGAGCTGTCATCTTTACCAGTTATTTACATCAATCACTCTGAAGTCGAGCTGTCATCTTTACCAGTTATTTACATCTATCACTCTGAAGTGGAGCTGTCATCTTTCTGAAGTCGAGCTGTCATCTTTACCAGTTATTTACATCTATCAGACTGAAGTCGAGCTGTCATCTTTACCAGTTGTTTATATCTATCACTTTGAAGCCGAGCTGTCATCTTTACCATTTATTTACATCTATCACTCTGAAGTTGAGCTGTCATCTTTTCCAGTTATTTACATCTATCACTCTGAAGTCGAGCTGTCATCTTTACCAGTTATTTACATCTATCACTCTGAAGTCGAGCTGTCATCTTTACCAGTTATTTACATCTATCATTCTGAAGTCGAGCTGTCATCTTTACCAGTTATTTACATCTATCACTCTGAAGTCGAGCTGTCATCTTTACCAGTTATTTACATCTATCAGACTGAAGTCGAGCTGTCATCTTTACCAGTTGTTTATATCTATCACTTTGAAGCCGAGCTGTCATCTTTACCAGTTATTTACATCTATCACTCTGAAGTTGAGCTGTCATCTTTTCCAGTTATTTACATCAATAGTACTGAAGTCGAGCTGCCATCTTCACCAGTTATTTACATCAATAGTTCTGAAGTCGAGGTGTCATCTTTACCAGTTATTTACATCAATAGTTTTGAAGTCGAGCTGTGATCTTTACCAGTTATTTACATCTATCAGAATGAAGTCGAACTGTCATCTTTACCAGTTATTTACATCTATCACTTTGAAGCCGAGCTGTCATCTTTACCAGTTATTTACATCTATCACTCTGAAATCGAGCTGTCATCTTTACCAGTTGTTTATGTCTATCACTTAGAAGTCGAGCTGTCATCTTTACCAGTTTGATACATTCATTATTCTGAAGTCGAGCTGTCATCTTTACCAGTTAGTTACATCTATCACTCTGAAGTCGAGCTGTCATCTTTACCAGTTTGATACATTCATTATTCTGAAGTCGAGCTGTCATCTTTACCAGTTAGTTACATCTATCACTCTGAAGTCGAGCTGTCATCTTTATCAGTTATTTACATCTATCATTCTGAAGTCGAGCTGTCATCTTTACCAGTTATTTACATCTATCACTCTGAAGTCGAGCTGTCATCTTTACCAGTTATTTACATCTATCAGACTGAAGTCGAGCTGTCATCTTTACCAGTTATTTACATCAATAGTTCTGAAGTCGAGCTGTCATCTTTACCAGTTATTTACATCTATAGTTCTGAAGTCAAGCTGTCATCCTTCCCAGTTATTTACATCTATCACTCTGAAGTCGAGCTGTCATCTTTACCAGTTATTTACATCTATTGAAGTCAGGTCATCTTTACCAGTTATTTACATATATCACTCTGAAGTGGAGCTGTCATCTTTACCAGTTATTTACATATATCACTCTGAAGTTGAGCTTTCATCTTTACCAGTTATTTACATCAATAGTTCTGAAGTCGAGCTGTCATCTTTACCAGTTATTTATATCTATCACTCTGAAATCGAGCTGTCATCTTTACCAGTTATTTACATCAATAGTTCTGAAGTCGAGCTGTCATCTTTACCAGTTATTTACATCTATCACTCTGAAGTCGAGCTGTCATCTTTACCAGTTATTTACATCTATCATGCTGAAGTCGAGCTGTCATCTTTACCAGTTATTTACATCTATCAGACTGAAGTCGAGCTGTCATCTTTACCAGTTATTTACATCAATAGTTCTGAAGTCGAGCTGTCATCTTTACCAGTTATTTACATCAATCACTCTGAAGTCGAGCTGTCATCTTTATCAGTTATTTACATCAATCTCTCTGAGTCGAGCTGTCATCTTTACCAGTTATTTACATCAATAGTTCTGAAGTCGAGCTGTCATCTTTACCAGTTATTTACATCTATCACTCTGAAGTCGAGCTGTCATCTTTACCAGTTATTTACATCTATCATTCTGAAGTCGAGCTGTCATCTTTACCAGTTATTTACATATATCACTCTGAAGTCGAGCTGTCATCTTTACCAGTTATTTACATCAATAGTTTTGAAGTCGAGCTGTGATCTTTACCAGTTATTTACATCTATAGTTCTGAAGTCAAGCTGTCATCCTTCCCAGTTATTTACATCAAT